CTTAAGTGAATTCCATACCTGAGGCCTTGTTCTCCTTGACTCATCATTCTAAAAGGAAGCTATGTATAAAACCCTGACTGAATTTGTATGATAGCTTTCCCTAGATTATTAGAAACCTTGCATTCCCACCAAAATCAAATGAAAGGAAGTCTTACCTAAGCCTGAGGACAAAGCATCCTTGGGACTGGAAGGGGACACGGACTGAAATCAGAGGCTTGAGATTCAAGCCTGACTTGGTCCCTGTATGGACTGAATTGTGTTCCATGAAACTTCATATATTGAAGCCCTAACTCATAGTAGCTAGCTACAATGTGACTATATTTGGAGATAGGCCTTTAAAGAGGTGATTAAGTTAAAATGAGGCCAGTTAGGATGGCACCTAATGCAATCTGACTGGTGTTCTTATAAGAAGAGGAAATTCATTCAGACATGAGAGACATCAGGGATATATGTGCACAGGCGAAAGGCATGTGAGGATGCAGCAAGAAGGTATCCATATACATGGCAAGGAGAGAGGCCTCAGAAAAGCCCAAACCTGCCGAGACCTTGATCTTCGACTTCCAGCCTCCAGACCGCGAGAAAACAAATTCAGTTGTTAAGCCACCTAGTCTGTGGCATTTCTTATGGCAGCCCTAGCAAACTAATGCAGGCCCTTAACAACAGAGTGGCCTTGACAAGTTTGCTGGGGTTTTCACACCAGTTAAGTTGGGTTAATAATACCAAATAATACTGTAGAGTCTTAACATGAAAATGCCTACTACAGTAACTGGCACAAAATAGGAATGTCATCCCTGCCTAAGGAAACCCAGAAACACTGTGGAGCGGGCCTCAAAGTCAGGGCAGCTCCTAACCTACTGCCCTGCAGCCTGTGTGACGGGGTGCCCCTCAGTCTGTCAGCAGCACCTGGCGCAGCCTCCCCTACTGATCTCATCTCGGTAAATGTCAGGAGTTAAGAAAATAAAGTGGCTCCTTCTCACAGTGGGTTCTACATTTCCTTTTCTTTGTACATAATTCTGGTCATTTGATCCTGCCTTGGTTGACACATGCAACCCGAAGCTGACACAGAGCTCTTTGTCACCTGAGACTGCAGATACATGCCTCTCCCACATTTCTCTGCCCAGGCTTCAGGGATCCCCAGAGGTTTGGCTCTGGCTGGAGTCCACTGGAGTTGCCGCGGAGCCTTTAATTCTTATTTCCCCACGATGACCAGGAGATGGCGCCTGCATTTCATACTTAAACACCGACTAGCGATCTTAAGTCTTGAATGAGTCAGAACCACTGTGGCCTCCCGGTGAACCACGGTGTATTCCAGGTCTCTGACTCCAAGAGCAGACTGTATTTGGGGCCCTTTGTTCTCAGGCAACAACATTTTGCCACCTAGGCGGCAGGATGTGACGACCGCTTTAGGAAAGTTTCTTACCTGCAACCCCCAAATGCTTCTACCTCACACTGCACCGTTTATGATTCCTTCTCTTGCACCACTTATATAGGGCTTACTATGTCCCCAACACAGTTCTAAGCACTTTACATGTGTTTATTTAATTCCCAAAGCTATATGAAGTGGGTATTACTATTATTCCCATTTTACAGAGGTAGAAACGGATCCACAGAGGAATGGAAGAAGTTAAGGTCAAATTGAGGTTATTATGTTGTCAGGAGTCCCAGTTAAAAAATGGGACTCATGATAGTGGTCTATTGAGTTGTAACCAGGGAGGAATATAAAAATGTAACTCAATTTATGAGTTGCATTTTAGCTCATGGGCGATTTGTAGAGTCCCCTGAATGAGGGAAGAGACCCGGACTGTTTGTAACTGTCACGACAAGAGGAAAGTAAAGAGGAGAGGGACACATGCTACCACGGCCTTGGTAGGATATCCTAGGAGAAGAAGTCAGGATGTGTGCTCAAAGAAGGGAGGGCAGCTTGGAAGGAGCAAAGGACAGGAGGCAACAACCCAGGAGTGTCCCCATGGAAGAGAAAGGGGCCCATTAAGATAGTAAACTTCACTTATTCTCCATTTTAGCCTAGAGCAAATCCTTCCTAAAAAAAAAAAAATCTCCAGTCCCTTAAATAAAATATAAGCCCTAGTTTGTGTCTTCCTTGAAGCATTCTCAACTTACTGAATATTTAGGGAGCTGTTTTTACCATGATGCAAAACTGTGAGGACACTTCATAGCTCCCTCCTCTGTCCCCCAGGGTATTTTACATTTACTACTAATATAGAAAGTACCACAGTAAATCATCATCATTGTTTATGTCACTAAATTATGAGCTTCTTTGGCAATACCTTCTTACTATTGCATAGAATGACCTCAAAGTATAAAATGAGACTGACAGACTGTGTTTGTGGGACAGCTGAGCAAGCATTTCTCTGTTAAGATGCCACATGTACTGCATATGCGCATGGACAAGGCAGACCCTGACCCCTGCTCACACCATGTATGAAAATCTGAGGTGGATCTGAGATCTAAACATAAAAGCTAGAACTGTAACATTTTTAGAAGAAAACAAGAACATACCTCTGTGACTTGGGAATAGGCAAACATTTCCTAGGTCTGTCACAGAAGCCATTAAAAAAAATTGATGTTAACTTCATCAGCATTAAGGAATTCAGCTCACTGAAATATTCCAGTGAAAAAATTAACAGTCCAGCTCAGGCAAGGATAGAATATCAAAAAGTACATATGACAAAAGACTAGTATTCAGAATATATAAATAACTTTACAACAATAACTAAAAGAAAAAGAAAAACAGTAAAAAAAAAAAAAAAAAATGGACAGAAGATACACAAATGGCCAACAAGTACATGATAAGCATCTCAACATCAGTAGGGATCAGAAAACTGCAAATTAAAACATTGTGAGATATCTTCACACGCCCACTGAGATGGGAAAAACTTAAAAGACTGGTAATACCAAATTTTGGAGAAGATGTAAAACAGCCAGACCCTCATACTTGGTTGATGAAGATGTACAATGGAACAGCCTCTTTGGGAAAAGATAAAGAATTTTCTTATAAACCTAAATATAAACCTACATATGGTAGAGCGGTTTCACTCCTTGTTATTTACCCAAGAGAAGTGAAAATAAATGTCCACTAAAAAACCTGTATAAGAACACCCATAACAGTTCTATTCATAATATCCCCAAACTGGAAATGACCTGTTTACCCACCTATAGGAAAATGGATAAACAAACTACCGTATAGTCACACAATGGGATACTGTGCAGTTATTTTAATTTTTTAAAATATATTTTTATTGGTTTTTAGAGAGAGGGGAAGAGGGAGAGAGGGGAGAGAGAGAGAGAGAGAGATCAGTCAATGGCCTCCTGCATGCACCCCAACCAGGGATCAAACCTGCAATCTGGGAATCGAGCTGGTGACCTTTCAGTGCACAGGCCGATGCTCAGCTAGCTGAGCCACACCAGCCAGGGCTGCAGTTACTTTTAAAAAGAACAAAATACTAATGCATGCAGCGACATGGGTGAATTTCAAAACCATATGCTGAATGAAAGAGCCTCACACACAAGAATACATATTGCATGGCTTATGTGAAGTTCTAGAACACGCAAATTTGATCTGCGGTAGAAAAAAAAAATCAGTGTCATTATTGTCTCTGGGAGGATGGGGGCAGAGATCAAAGGGGAAGGTGCATGCAGGAACTTTCTGGAGTGCTGACAAGGTTCTATACCTTGATGTGGGTATGAGTTATGTGTATACATTTGTCAAAACACAACTAGTATACACTTAAGACTAGTGCACTTTACTGGATATAAACTTTATGTCAAAAGAAAACTTAAAAACCAATATGGGACCCTAGTTAGTGATATGTATACTGAGGTGTTCAGGGGATGTGCATAGATGCTTGCAGTTGGAATTTGTCAAAAATATAAGATAGAGATTGATGAAAGGATAAACCTACCATGTGATGAGCAAGTACAGTAAAATGTTACTAGTAAAATCTAGATGGTGGATATACTTACTCTAAATTTCTTTCAATGTTGCAGTATGTTTGAAAATTTTTATGATAAAAAGTTGAAGAACCTAATAATAATTAGGCTTTTGATACTAGTTTTTAAGGTCCTGTTCACATGGATCTCTTTGGGGCTAATAATCTCCTCTTCCAGCACAGAAACCCTGAAAGCACAAGTCTCTCGTAGAATAAGCATCACTTTGTCCCTGAAGTTTAAATGGACAAACTTCTGGGTGCTCAAGCTTTTATTGGCATATTCTTGTCATATTTGGGAAATGTTTTGTTTCCATTTCTGGAGGAATCCTTCTAAACTCTACTCTCTCTCCTCTCTTCCCCCAACACTCTGCTCCATGTAGGAATCTTCCTGCCATCCTGGACTGGGTGAAAACTCAGAAGCCTGGAGCCATGGGCGTCAACATCATCACATCTGACTTCGTGGACCTGGTGGACTTTGCCACGACTGTCATTGAATTGAATGATCTCCTGCAGGAGGATAGAGCTTTGGCTAAATGCTGATTTAAGTTTTCATTTATCTTAATGTTGAATTTGTTGATCCAGGCTAGAGTTCTGAAGGGTTTTCTGTTGGGATGGCCCCTGGGCAGTGATGGTGAAGTGAATAGAAGGAGGAGGGTGTTTTTTCTTTTACCTCTCCTCACAGAGCCATTTGGATAAAATTACAGACCTTTTAATTGCATTTTTCCCAATGAGACTTTTGAAAACCTTAAGTCCAAGGGAAGAAAGCATATTTCATGAGATCAAGGCCAGTATCTCCTCAATGGCTTATGATGTTGAATATAATGTGGAAATGGAGTCTCCAAGATCCACTGGGGTATTGAGTGTCCCCCTACTAGGCCTAGTTCCCTAGTGTCTTCCAGGATGTTGAGTTTTGGTGAGAAAACTGAACCAGAAAAGCATTCCCAGTCAAAAGAATGGCTCATTGCACATGTAGACTGCCCTGTGCTGTGGTTCTAATATCAAGCTTGGGCTTGAGGGAGAAAGAGCCAAGCACCAGTTCCCTCTAGACATGTTGAATGTCATCACTTCTTCCCTGAGAAAGTGAGACATTTATCGCCAAGGTAGTTCAGCCACAAGCTGTTCTTGCATAGCTAGTGTGTGGTAAGTGGTCAACTTCATCCTTAGATAAATAGTGCATACTGACCCTGGTGTCAGAAATGTGTTTCCCAGTTTCAAAGCATTGATTCCTTTCTCTCTCTTTTGGCCCCTTAAAAGTGAAAGGAACAAGGATAGGAGATCTTTTCATTGTGGGGCCCAACAACAGATAGACATGCATGTTTGTTGCACGCCAATTTTTTTTTTTTTTTTATTTAAATCTGTAGCTTTTCCCAAAATGGCTGCCAGGTAAGCACCTGCATCATTTTGGCAAAGTCCTCTTTGGAGTGGGATCTTCAAGCCAGATCTTGGAATTGCATTTCTTTGTTGTCTGCCTTGGACTCGGGTCTATGCCATGGGACACAACACTAACGGAATGTAGTTTGTCTGTGACACCGTGGAGGCCGACACAAGATGCGTGGGAAAGTGCAATGGATTTAAGGAGGACATGCCAAGTGGGTTTGGAGCCATTCTGTAACTCCTTGAAAACAAGACTACCTCGGGGACATTTAGGATGACTTCGGTGTCATCAAGTGAGAAGTACCCAGTGTTGGAACATTTCCAGCTCATGTCTTCCTTGTTCTAAGCCTTGTAATCTCCACTGCATGGGGGCTTTGAAACTCACGAGGGTTTTGGTTTTTTTTATTGGTAAGAGGTGCTTATCCATAAAGAGCCCTCTTGTGTTTTATTTATTTATTTATTCATTTATTTATTTATAGATTAAGTATCTTCAGTGCTTCTTACCTCAAGAGCACTCACAAAGGAGCTTCCTGAACTTTTTCTCCAGGCCCGATGCTGCCATGGTCTTCCTCCTTAGCGGGACCACGCATCTCAGGACTGTGAGTGACCTGTGGCTCTGCTGTAGATGTCCTGGCTCCTCCATCCTAAGGGCAGGCAGGGTGCACGTGTGGGTATGGTCCAGATCTGAGGAGCCACTCAGGAGCCACGCACTGGGGCAGAAGATGAATTGGGTCATGAAGAACTCTCAGTTCTTGAGGAATACCCTCCAGGAGAGGGTTGAAAAGGAAGCAGCTAGAAAGAAAACTGGGCTTGGGGATGTGTGAACTTCAGTGCTCCTAAGAACTGCCCGAGAATCCCCAAGGAAGTGTTAGCTTCTGGATTCTTAAGGAGGAGAGATAAACATGCAATCCTGGGTGGATGTGTGCATGTATACCAATCTCTGGACCACCTCCCAGCAGTTTCCCATTTCTACTTCTCAATTTTCATTGCTGGATTTGCATGCTGCCTGTAGTAGGGGGTATTCTAGAGTTGCTACTGACAGCACATGCACACCCTCAACTCTTGGTCTTCCAACCTTTACTCTCTGTAAAGGAATTTCAGCCCTGACCTTTAGCTTCCACAGCTTGAGGAGGTCTAACACAAATGCCTCTGGGCATTAACATTTCCTTTTCTTGCATTTGAGCTCCTCTCCAAAGAGGTTTCTGGGATTTTATTGTCAAATTCTTTAGGGCCTTCTATGGAAAGGAGTAAGGAAGTGGGTGCCCTCACTTTTTCAATTTCCCTTCAATTCTGATATTAAACTCCAGCCACAAGCTCTGAAATCCCTGGCCTACCCTCAGGGTTTTGTTGTTATTGTTTCATTTTGGTCTTGTTTTTAATTTATGGTCAATTGCTAGGGACTAGATCAGTTCCCTTCTTGAACCCTCTGTTACTTGGCAAAGAGATTAGGAGGCAAGAGGAGAATTATTATCCTCTGTTTTATTTGAGCCTCAGCTTTGTCCAGGTGCTTGGTGCTATGAGGCCAGGTGTGTGACAGGTGTCTACACAGGATACCAGTGACACCAAGGGCTGCTGACTGTTCAGTGAAATGTTTACTTGATTTTTTCCTTTAGTTTAAAATATATAGTTGCACTTGGGTTGTACCATTTAAGTGCACCTCAGTGCTTGCATGACAAAAGAAAAGTCATCGAGCATGACAGGAAGTTCAGACAGGGTACCAAGTGGCATGCGTGGAGTCCTGCCTGCGTGGCAAGCGCAGGCGCTCGCTCCTTCATGCTGCTTGAGATGGCCAGCCTGACTTGCATTTTGAAATTCTGCACAGGAGGTCTAGGAGATAGGAGGGGGGTTATTTACAGTTCACCCTTGATAAACACTCTTGAATTAGCAAAATGCCTGCCCCAAGAAAGAATTGCTCAACATGTTATAAGGGATGCATGCATTCTGTTCCTTGACCAAAGGCTAAGCAGGAGACTCAGCGATGGGACAGATGGAAAATAGACTTTAGTTCTGTGATTCATTCTGCAACTGCCACCAATAAAAACAGTGACCCAACCAAATCACTTATTCTCACAAGTTCTGGGGACCTTTCAGATCAAACAAGGTTATCATACTTGCTCAGAAGTAACTTACTACCAGCTAAAAGGATACTTGATTGATCTAAAAGAGGACTTTAGGATTCGGGGCCATGGTTTTCTGAAAAGTAGACTGAATTTTTTATACGCTCCCTAGATCATTTGTCACATGGCCACATTTCCATGACATCGTGGCAAAGGGGACCATTACAGGTTCCAGTTAGATTAGAGCAGTGTCAAAAGGCTTGAACTTGGAATCTATTAGAGGTACTTCTGTGGTCTCATACATACAGAAGACATTCTGAGGTTTGGAGAGAGAAGTCAAGATAGATGGGTAAAACGATAAATGATTGAGGATTGAAATTTTAAATTGATGGCAGATCTAAAAGGGTCATGCCAAAAAATATTATCTACCTGTGGTATCAGACTCTCTAGTAATTAAATTTACTTTCCTTAGTGCTGAGTCCACACCCCTGTATTCTTGAGAATCATTAAGTCACAGTTGAAAAGCAGGATTTTATATGAACTCAAAGAAAAGCACAAGATCTGGACCCAGGTAATAATTGATCTTCAGAATCCCAGTTTTCCTTTCATCCCCTCATCTTCATGTCACAAAGTTTTCATTCCTGTTCAAGAAGACAGTGTAGTGGGACATGCTGGAGTTAAATGCAGTTTTCTGGTGAGAAAGGGTTTTCTATTTCTGTTTTTCTGAAGCTTACCATAAGAAAGTGCTCCGCGCTGAGACATTACTCCATCCCGGCTAGCAGGCCTAGCGCACAGCTAAAGGGGGAGACACAGAAGGGATGAAGACTGAAATGAAGCCACTTGTTTTCCCGGGAAGGAAAGGGACACCCAAATCCAGACCGCCCCACAGACTCGGGTCCCGCCACAGCTGCAGTACTGTTCTTTGTTGGCTGGCTGCAGATGTTCGCTGTGGAGGGACGCGGCTTAGGTTCCTTTCTCGAAGGCGCCGCTGTCAGGTAGAAGCCGTCTGACAACGGCGCCTTCAGCCATGTGAACAGCTATGAGCTGGGCTGAAGGAAATCTACTGATGAGCGGGCGCTCCTGAGAGGCGGCCTGGCCCAGGTACGCGCCCAGTAGTCCTGGTATGAGAAGAGGGGATGAATGGAAATTGGTGACATTGAACTCCAGGCTGACAGGAAGTTCGGTTGTATGGCATAGAACATGGCTGTCCCTCCAGGCGCCGCTAACTGTCCAGTAGGTCCCGGCCCTCTGCCTCAGGCTGCTTCCTGCTGTTTGCGCCATGGCTTTGTCACTCACACGTATTGTCTTGGGACACACAGGAGTGAACTGGTTGTGAAATGAGTGATTTAGCTGGAAACTTTTCCCTCAATTCCAAACGCTGCTGAACAGCTCTTTACTGCCCCGAAGTCCCCCAGCTTCTTTCTAGGAATAGAGATGCTAAGGTCACTGTGTTGCCGACTTAGCCCTAAGCCAGACGACAGTACACAGTGCAGTGGGTGATGACACAGCACATTCTTAGACACGGAAAACTCTACGATAACTCCTCCTGGCCTGCAGTGGATACAGTGTTCTAGTCTTTTTTCCAACAAAACTTATCCTTAGGTCTTTTCAAATTCATTTCTAAGCCACAAAGGTTGGATGAGATGTTTTTCTTCTTGTCACTGGGAACTCAATCCCCTAGTGGAGAGGCATTTTCCATCTCATTCCTGCTCACCTCCTTCACAGAATACCACTTTCTCCTCTCGTCTCCTGGCCATCCCCTGTCACCTACTGATTCCCGTGAAGCACAGGGTGCCGGCATAACTTACAGTGAAAGGCATGTGCATTCAGTGGTGTCCAAACACACCGTTATCACAGTGGATTTTGCTCCTTACTCTTCTCAAATGCGTTATCTGGCGCCCCTCCTCCTCGCAGCCAGTCTCTAGAACCGTCCCTGATTGGAGCCCAGAACTTGGGGCCAGTACTTCATTCAGCTGTCGGGGGCTTGCTCTCAAGCTTTGAGCCCAGCGAGAAGCACAGCACTTTGAAAAGTCAAATAGACCTTTGGTAGCTTTGTACATCTGCTGTTTTACATTTGTTATTAGTTCATAGCACTAATAACACCTTAGTCATGAATCTGTAATATCAATATGCTAAATCTTAGTACATAGTCTAGAGACAGTGGTACCTTGCTGCTATTATACTTACTAATTTATACCCCAGTTAATAAATATTACATACAGGTTGTGTATGCATTATTGTATTGTGTATGCATATATATAGTATATATGCCAGCTGTAATACTTAACCTCACTGATCAGCATTTTAAAAATACAGTAGTCCCCCCTTATCCACAGAGGATATGTTCTAAGATCCCCAGTGGATGCCTGAAACCATGGATAGTAATGAGCTCTATATATGCTGTGTTTTTCCTACACATACATACATTTTCATGTAAAGGATGCACTTTATGGCTTCTCTTTGGCATATCTGAATTGCCAGCATCGCTACTCTTGCACTTTGGGGCCATTATTAAGAAGAATAAGAGTTACTTGAACACAAGCACTGCAATACTGCGACAGTCAATCTGATGACCTATGCTACCATGTGACCAACGGGCAGGCAGCGAGGACAGTGTGGAGACACGGACAGAGGGATGGATCATATCCTGCGCGGGACGGAGCAGACACTTGAGATTTCATCACACTACTCGGAACTGTGCAATTTAAAACTTATGAATTGTTTATTTCTGGGATTTTACATTTAATTTTTTTGGACTGCTGCTGGCCACGGGTAACTGAAACCATGGGAAGCAAAACCTCGGATACGGCTGGACTACTGTACAGAGATTGTCATGGTGAAAACAAGTCTCGGTCAATTCAGATGATACGTGACTCTGAAGATGCCCTGTTGGATACTATATTTTGTCCTCTGTGCTTGTTTTATATTAAGGTGCATGCTGTTTGCTAAATTAAGCAAGATAATAATAATAGGAAATTATACCAATTTAAAGGTTAGAATTAAAGTTTTACATATATGCTGCTTGATACTCTGGAATGTATTTTGTGGCATAATTATCTTATTCATACACATTTCATGTGTGTTTTTTCCCCCCTAGGAAATAATTGTTCAAATATCTCCCTCTCCTTCTTTCTTGTAACCTGGATTATACTGCTGAATTCAAACTAACACATTGTAAAGCCAGATTACCTCATTTTAACTGAAAAATTTCAATCGATATGCTGATATGATGTCTCTTCTTGTATTTGATTTGAACTACCTAAGTAAGCGTAAACCCAATAATAAATACAAAACTTGACAGGCCCTTCTCCTTTGTATGCACATTGTATTGTTGGCCGTATACATACTCAAGAGTAACTATTAGTCTTAGTAGTGGGGTTGGGGACTTTGCAGCCAACCCCTCCAAAAAGCACCCAGCACAAGCTCTTCAACATGGTTGATTGTGTTTCATTGGTGAATGATTTAGCAAAAATTAGTTACAGCAATATGAGATAAAGCAGATAAATTCAGATGGTGAAAGAGAAAATTGCGTAATCACTGGACCAAACATGCATTGCTCAGGGAGTGGGATTCATGCCACTGGTGGTCCACACAATGTCATGGGGTAAAAGACGGACACATCCTTGTGTAGCATTAATAGCATTAGTCACCCATTCTGATTATCTGAAAGGCATGTCCTAGCTTAGTGATGAAACCCCTCTAGCCCTTGTTTATATGGCAAATACAAAAAAGACAATAGTATCCAGCTAACATTTATTATCATTTTGTTTGTATTGTGTTTATTTTGTGGTTATGTTCCCTTTGTAGAAGGGATCCTGGGTTTGTCAATGGTGATATAAAATTGCCTTTCAAAGTAAACTTAAGTTTTTTAAAGAGTCTACTCTGCAGAGGCAATGGAAGTGGCCTACGTGTATGATCCTTTCCAGACTGAAAAAAAAAAATGGAGTTGATTCTACTGCACACTTTTGCCAAGAATTGGTTTTGGCTGTGCTCTTTTGGATATCCTTAACTAAATAAATGAACTGCTATTCAAGATAGAAAATCACCCACTTTTTCATAAGGGAACTTTCTTCATGTTTTCTGTAGAGGCCCACGCTCAGATCATCCTCTCTCCATGGTGTCCTGTGCTG